CGCCACGCTCCGTCGAGACTAGTTAAATCCCAAGTGTCGATTACTTTCTGCTCTCCCGCAGTAGTCGGCACGACAGCCCCTTATATGTAAAAATGTTCCCTAAGTGCATGATTCAATAAACAGCCAATCAAATCTTAGATTATTTCCATTTAAGTACTGCATTATTACTATAAAAATTAAAAGAACTACAAGCAAAAATTGCTTGTTCTCAAGTACAAAGACAGTAACCCTACTGCTACCCATGTAGATGTTGCTCAGTGAGTTAAGGCAACATTTAACTTAGACAGATAGACATTAACCCAATGACTACACACAGTGAAGCACTGAAGGCGTTTTTTACAACAAAGTCAAGATATGTCAGAATATAAGATGGTGAGAAATCTGCAAGTTACATGGTTTCAGCAGAACAGTTTTTCAACTTGATAAAGAATTCCGGTAAATGTTTTGAGTATTTACCGCTTTTTGCAACATCAGTATTACCTTTTTTTTAGGTCTGTTGTTTAATAATAAAAATAATATTAGTATTAGTATAGTAACAAATAAAGTATACAAATATACCCACGTGAATTCAATATTACCGGTTCTCCCTAAGTGCAGGTTTCTCTCTAAGTGCAGGCATTGGCTTTGGTCCCAACGACCTGCAACTTAGGGAGAGTCCACTGTAGATATGAAATTTGCGTATTTTCCGAGTGACATTGGCAATTTTCAAACTTATCAAACATTGACAAAAATTCTCCATGACAAACTACAGCTTTTATTGGCGTATGCATAAAAATTTCAAATGTCAAAAGCTAATACTCACCTTTAGCCTGAAGCGAGCCAAACCTGTCCTCGTGGACTATGCGTTTTAGAACCCGTCTATCTCGTTCAGTAAGCGCTTTTGGGCGCCCGGGACGTTTCATTGTTGTATCATTCACTGTGCTAGGGGCAATGTTTAGTTGATATTGAGCGGAAATAACGTTTTGTTTCACTCCGCTACGGCACGCCATTTTTCGAATAATATATCACTTTCTTATCAGGTCATTATAACATACGTGCCACTTTTCTATCAGGTCATATAACATGCCACTTTTTGTTGAAGATTTCAATATATATAATAATAAGGGAAAGTATTTCTGCTTAATGTTTACGAAGTTCAAAATCTTTACTAAAGAACTGTGTTTAATTGACCCATCACTGATAAATATTGACCCATCACTGATAAATTCTCTTCAAATTAAAATTTTCGTTACCTAAATATGGCTAAACCCGCAAATTCAAGTGACGTAGAAAGACAAAGAAAATAAAAGAAAAATATATCACTTGAGGACAAAATCGACATCATTAAATGGAAGATATTAGATATATTCGTGATATCGGATGAGACAGGTATTTTCTATCGGTAACGTAATAATTATGCTTTAATATATTTAGTGTAAAGATTTCACACTAACATGTACTTTTTATTGGTACACGTCGTCTTGCAGGTCGCAAGAAAGATAAAGAACGCCTTTCAATACAAATGCTGATGGATCGCATAAGTTAAATCCACTTGTTATCGGCAAATATGCAAAACCACGATGGCTCTAATATTTGTAACTACCTATTACTATTATATATCGAAATAACACAAAGGCTTGGATGCTTGCAACTCTTTTTCAAGAATGGTTTCAGTACTTCGATAAGGAGGTTACTAAGAATCATGGTGATAATTGTGTTATCTCACTCATTGACAATTGTCCAAGTCATAAATTAGAAGGCCTAACAACTTCAGCATGTTGATGTCCACTACTTTCCTCCAAATACAACTGCAAAGATTCAGCCAATGGATGCTGGAATCATAATGGCTTTTAAAAGACATTGTCGGCGTCATCAAACGCTGTAAGATATTATTACTATTACAATCTTTTACTTTGGTTTATGTCTAATACTAAGGAGATATTAATTATTTTGAACATTAGGTGAGATGTTGGAACAGGTTGAAGCCGGACAGCAAGTAGAACATTTGAAAATGAACGTTCTCTGGTACATTATTAAAACATGGGAAGAAATCACAGCGGAAACAATTCGTGTCATACGAAAATTCTTCCTGTTGGATAACGTCCGCACAACTGAAATTTAATATCTGATGAACTTTGCAAACAACTTCACCTTTCTGAGTCGTTCGGTGTCTCTAAGTACTAGCGCGCCGCCATTTTTGCGATTCCCGAGGTTTCGCATGGCTTTAATCCGACTTCACTATACTTTTAATTAATTCTGCAAAGATACGGAGAGATCTTTTGCTCTTGCTTTCACGTTAACAGACACTATAAAAACGTCATTTGGGTGTTGGCATAGTTAGTGAAATTACGGTGCCGTTAGTAACAGTAAACAGCAGATAGAGAGCTCGACATGAGGGATTAAACACAAAGAATGTATACATAAAAATTTCCATATTGAGTAAAGTCAATGACTGTGATATAATGTTGCGTTTTTTTACTTACACAGTTTAACCTGTCTGTTGTCAAAGTTTTGAGGCCGTTAAGTCAATCGCTCTTACTGTAACCCTTAATGATGCAACCGTCACCTGACATTTATAGGCAGGAAATACACTAGCAGGAGTTTCTCTATCATACCGTATAACCGTATAAGCCTTGTTCCTTAGCTCAAAGTTTGAAGTTGGAGTAGAATACCCCTGTAATAAGTATAGCACATTTCAGTTGAGTATCTCACTTTAACAAAGGTGTGTGCGTTTGCGGAATTTCTTATTTGATACCTACAACCGACTATTAATGCTAAAATTGTTGCATTATCTATATTAATATTAATATGCTTACTCACAAACCAATAACCAAATGTCAATGGTTACACATACACAATAGACACTTAGTCAAGTTCTACAGTAAAAACCACAAAACAGCTACCAATCGTAAGTAATAAAAATGATAATAGAAGAACGCCGTTCAAAAGCTACACCTTTGTGCCAATGTGATATAAGTTTACATAAAAAGTGGCCGTTTTTGGTTCTAAGTCAACGTGAGTAATAACTGGTTGTTGGTACATAATAATCCAAAAACTGTTTACATTTATCGGGGTGGGACATGTTTCATAATTAGTATGTTTGTAACACTACCGATATCTAACACCCCCGAAAGCGGTTTAACGGCACTAGAAGACTAGAATGTTTTTTAATAGACGGAAACCACTAGTTAATATAAATTTTCTCAATTGCCCACATTCGGAAGTGCCGAAGGCGATAAAATTAGATACGTCAATGACGCTAGAGAAAATCCGTGAGGAGCTTTCTCACGAATCCATCATGAAGTTCGATATGTACTTTTGTAACGAGAGAAGCCCGAATGAGATACCAAGGAACCAAGAAGCGAACACTTGTCTCTACGAGATACTCGTTGACAACAATAATCTCTGCATTAAGCGAAGCAAGAAACTTGAAGAAGTAATGCCTCGTTTAATTAACGAGAAAAAGTTAGATTGTGGCATTCGATGGACTGAAGATGGACCAAAACAGTCTGATAACATAGCATTCAAGTTTAACAGATATGAATTTGGAACACAACACACTGAATATAGATGTACGTTTGAAAATAGTAACAAGAAACTCTGTGAAAATGGCATTGAATGGAAACTTAATTTGAATATGTCATGGTAAGAATTTTTCTTGATGCATAGCTTAATCCAAAACATAATAACAATTAATGATATTAGGTTACCATTTACCGGCTCGATGGGTGCACATTGCGCGCAAAAAGGATCAAACGGAGTTGAACATAAATCATGCCGAATACTCGAAAGATATAGTCGAATGACATTATTGATGAAAAAAGAACATATAAAACCTTCCGATGAATTTACAGACGATGTAGAGCAAGCATTGAACTTGGGAAGTCAAGAGGAGAGGCGTGACGCATTGAATGAAGTTTGCGCGAAATATGGGCATTTTTGGGCGAGAACTGTACAACTGGGAGGGCTGATTATCAAAAACGAGCAAGAGCATAAAGAGACCAATGTCCATTCGACTGGTAGAGCAATAGGCATTGGTGCCACATTGGGAACTACACTACTGGAAACAGAGGGAGGGATAAATCGGAATAATGAAACTCTGAATCAAAACTTATCTAGGAATTCGGACAAGAATATTGCGGTTGTTGGGGGAGATGAGACAGCTTATAAGCGTGATGATACAGGTATTAAAAGTTCGTAAAACGAAAACCTTTTTTTTTTTAGTTATATGACTAAATTTGGTTTCCCCTTCCAAAGATCAATGGGAAAAAACGCTTGAAGATTGCTTTACCTGGAAGATAGTAGATTATGAAGATATAGTTTCAATTTTTGAAATTTTTGAAGAAACGACACGAAATGCTATTATCAAAGCATTTGGACCAAGAATATGCTATTATGGGATTAACGAATTGAAGCTTTCAAGAAAAACCTTATATCTATGTGTGCGTCCACTAAAAATCAATTCTGATGTATGGAAAGGAATTAGCCAGCACCAAATTTTTGCAGAAGTCATGTGTGATGACAAGAGTGATGCAATATTTGCAGTGAATATTGAACAAAAGGCAATTGGGCCACCAAATATACATGTTTCCAAAGTTCGGGAAAGTAAAAGTGGTGGTTTCAACAATTTATTTGGGAAGAGCTGCTATACATTGAAAATAGCCTACATTATCACAGGCTATCCACAATCATTCATCTCCCAAACAGTTGATGAATTACCTGTTGAGGTTGATGTTGTCGAAGGAGAAAAGAGAGATGATAAGTTTGTTGCTTCATTGCCAATGATTCCAAATATTCAAGGTTTTAATCAAAGAGTTGTCTTAATCACTTGTTATGTAACACAGCAGATTATGCGTGCTGGCAATATGATATTTGCAGTGCACCTTCACAAGGATGATACCAATATTACTGAAGTATGCATTTCTGGTAAGTATTTACTGTAATTTCGATATCTATTTTTAATTAATGTTATGGTCAACTGTGATGGTTATTTGTGTAAACATGTAACAAGTCAGTAATACTGTCATCCATTTATTTTACGCATAACAGCCTACGGACGTAGTGATAACGGTTCTTACCAAATAGAAGAGTTGCCGCAAGAAAGTATTAAAATTGCTTACTGGTATGCGTTATATTATTGTTTGTGGCCTTGGTTTTTTTATTGATTACTTACAAGTTAAAATTAATAGTATTATTACAGAAAATAGCGTTTCTGGTGAAATCGAATTTAAACTTAAAAACGCCAAAAGGTTTAAGACTTACGAAGTTCTGTTTTCAAATCAAAGATGTAATAGTGTATTTACAAGTATAGTGCTGCCTTCAGAACAATGTGTTCCTGTATTTAAGTTAACTACTAATAAGCATATACTGTACTGTTCTGAACAAAATCGTGGTGATATCTTAGGAGGAAGCTTTATTTATTTCCATCGTGAAATCGATAACGCTTGCGTTAGTACTATCCCACTGGTCAAATGAGAAATCTATTAAATTTTATTTATTTGTTGGGTTGACCACTTTTCATTAGATCGAGGTGTGGAGTAAAGTGCTATTATAAGTTCCTCGCTATAGGTTAGGTAAAGATCGTACCCCTGACAAAATGTTATTTATACTCCCCTGTGATAAACCGATTACCAGACACTCGGAATAATAATAACAAAGAACAGACAATCGCAGGTCAATTTACACCACCCAACGGCAACATGGCTGGTCGTTCCAAAGAGGCAAAAATGAATATTGACGTAGTTGGCGCGAAAGTAGGCGAAGTGGCACCAGAGGCCAGCGTATAGGTCATGCTAAAGCGGCAATCAGCACATAGTAATAGCTAAAGAATACAAGGGAAAATTGATTGTTAGATTTGATGACACTAACCCCAGCAAAGAAAAGGTGGGTTAATTGGGGACGTTATACTCAGAAATATTGGAATACAAAATAATTTTCAGCAAGAATTCGAGGATTCTATAAAGGAGGACTTGGCCCTGTTGGCGCAGTGAAGTTAATCGATGAAACTGATGACAATGACTATTACATCTATTGGTGTCACTGATAGCAGTCATTGACAGATAGGATGCGTGGAATACCGTCAGCAAATCGTGAGAAGAGAACTTGAGACTCTAAAGAAATGACTGACGCGACGGAGTTTGTAAGTGACATGACACGTAAACCCGTATATTACTGAGCGCAAAGCAAGAGATCATACAACGCTTATCGCAATTCCATTTTCTTATCGTTATAGGGTTAAACATGCCAAGATTGACATGAAGAATTCTAATAAAGCATTGCGTGACCATGTTTTATACAGATGCAATCTGTTACATCACAATCGAACGGTGGGTCTAGTTGAAAGCATTTAGCATACGACGATTAAGAAATTAATATGACACGTCACGAAGATCTATATTAACCTATATTGCTTTTATTGATTTTTATAGTGACAAGTGGAAAGTATATCCGACTTACGATTTGCTTGTCCGATCGTTGATTCGGTCGGTTGAAGGAGTAACACATGCAATGAGAACAAAAGAATATTGTGATCCTAATCCTCAGTATTAATGGATACTCAATTCATTAGAATTACGAAAAGTTCATATTCGGGATTTCAGGTAACGAGAGAGTTGAATAGACTCCGTTCGACGGGGACCATCAGTATTTACCCTGGCGGTTGTATGAACTTTGTATATACTCTTTTATCAAAGCGTAAATTACAATGGTTTGTGGACGAAGATCTTGTTGGAACGATCCTCGATTCCCAGCTGTTCGTGGCATTCGTCGTAGGGGATTGACGGTCGAAGCACTGAGGCAGTACGTTTTCACGCAAGGAGCGACGCAGAACGACGCTACGATAAACTTTGGGCTCTTACTATAAAAGTCATTGATCCTATTGCACCAAGGCACACCTGTATCTTGACTGAAAACATGTGAGCGTAGTAATTTTATGAGGATATTTACTGAAGTATAATATTAAATTCGATTGTTTTCTGTGTCCGGGCCAAGATTACAGGTGGTCCGGCCGAATCTATACAAAAGATATGCCTAAACATAAAAAGAACCCCGACGTTGGTACAAAGAAGACCGCCTATAGCTGGAGATATTCATTGAGCAAGGAGATGCAAGACGTTTGGACTTGAAGAAGAGGTAATTTAACTAAAACATCAGAATTTCGTGGCTTACAGTTATTAGTTTGTGATTATCTGACATAGTAACTAAATGTCATCAATAATGTCAAATCTGTGAACGTTGACTTTCAGATTACTTTATGGACTGGGGCAATGCTATATAGTAAAGTCAATCACTAAATCAGAAAACAATCCTGAAATAGTGAATTGCAACTGCACCTGGAGGGTGATTTTAGGAAGACAAATAAGAAAATCACATGGTTAGCTGACACCGTGAAGGTTAAACTGGTTGATTACTATTATTTAATCAATAAGAAGAAACTAGCTGAAAATGATGATGTCAAGGATTTTTTAACGGCAAAGACAGAATTTCTTGACGAAACGATTGCTGACGGCAATGTAAGAGATTGAAGAAAGTTAATTCCGATATAGTAATTTTGGAATGTGGAAATCGTTCGATTGCATTAGCGTTAGTTTATCACTATGAATGCTAAACTTATATGCTAACTCTCTTTGTCACTCATTAAAAACTAGGTGATGGCATCGTCGGACGATATACGTCTCATTCGTATCCCCGACGGCAAAGCATCTAATGTGGCGTCTAAAGCAAAATAATTGCTGCATAATTTGCAGTAAGCCAAACACGTCAAAATGTCTTTTTTAATGTTTACCACAATGCAAGTAAAGAATTATTATTAAGAACCGCGATCTTGAGATTTCATTATATCAAAAAAGCTTATGTTCAGGATATTCCAGAATGTTCGTTCAAACGTGTATTCCAAACCACAGATGCCAGCCTTAATTACGGTTTAACAATTAACAAAGACAACAGTACCGACTTATTATTATCCATTTGTCGAGAGATAAATTAGAGGTACAGTATAATTTTTGGTTCACGTATTAATACTCCAATTTTCGGTGAATATTCTTTCTCGTTATTTTTTGAATATACATTCATTGGGAGGTATTTATGTAAACTATTTGTTCCGGGTTTTAGACTAATCATTACCTGTTAATATACCATGAGCCCAACTGTTAGCACTTTTGGGGATTTGTCAACTGACACCTATTTCAACTCTAGTATTATGATAGAGGATGAAATGGGTATGATTGCCTACACGAAAATATGGTATGAAACTTCGGTTGGTCTGCTTTTTCTATATTAGGCATTTTGGATATTTACCGTTATGTGTTCTCTATTATGCGAACAGCGTGTACATGACATGTATTCTTCCCTATTTTATGACTAATAATATCAAATCGGGTTCCGGCGCGTCGAACAACATTCTAATTACTGACTATGTGACTCAAAGTCAGTACACTACGAAATGTAGATATTTTGAATGCAGACAATCTTGATACAAATGACAATCTTTATTCAATGTCCACTTTGACTTTCTTTGCGATTCCTGCGACTTTATTATCATCATATTCATCATTTTGAACAGCAACATATGAGCCGTCTATTTTCCTCTTTGCACTATAGATGAGAACGTGTTCATCAACAGTTGTATTGTTGTATCACAAATATATCATTAAACGTACCTTCCAAAGGCAACATTGGTATCCAACTTGAAACTTATGCAGAACATGTCTTTATTTGGTGCTACTTTCCTTACAAAATGAATCTTGTATCCTGGCTGAAGAGGATAACCAAGTGCAGTAACCACTCGCTATGAAAGTGTGAGAGCAAAAAAGAAATGATTTCATGTCAGTAAAGTGGATTACGCCCCACACTTAATATTCGCAAGCCTCGACTGATACCTTTACAATATCCTTTTCTGGTTCTTCACTTTTAGAGAAACAGTGACAATGTATCATTGGTAATTGGTCATCCGGATTGGTAATAAGCGCTCCTTTGTCTTTGTATAGTCCCTTGAATGCATCTTCATAAACCACATAAAATTCAGTTAATGCAATCAAAATCGAGGTAATTTCACGTAATCTACCAAATACGTTACCAAGAAACTCGATAGACGTCGCTGGAAGGTTCATCACAAAATGCTTAAAAGTCTTGAATACAGTTTGGCCCTCAGCAGGAGATGATGAGTTGGTTGTATTGGACTGTGAATTCAAAGCTACATGTAAATCATGTACGGCCATTTCAACAAAATGACGACCGTCGAGATTGTATGCTTTGAGCTTGCCTTGCACCTATACGAGCAGCATGAAGTCAGCATTGATATTGTAATTGCACAAATAGCACACACAACATTCTCTTGCAGATATTTATACGAAGATGGGTTCAAATCGCTTGCGTAGACAACGTTTGGCTGCTGTTCGTGAATAACAGACCCGGAACATGTAAATAGAAAATAACGTATTGCATATTCGTATACACACAACTTCGGCAATCATATTGTCTTCACCAGCATTATCTCCATTCGAAAGTTACGAAATGTGCTATCAATTATGTCAACTTTTATTGACTACGATCTTGATGGTCGAAATTTTCTATCAATAGTAAAGTGTGAAGTTAGATAAATATTACTCACATTTTCTGTAGACACTCACACGGCAAAATATTATAAGTTGGATTTAAAGTATCAAAGTAGTACTGTTCCCAAACCCTAGCAAAATTAGAATATAAAAAAATTAAAAAAAAAGTAAAACAATTAACTGAGGAGGAATTTTCCGAACATTCTTGAGAAACATTACAAAAAAAAAAATATAATTTAGGAAAAGAAAAAAGGAATGAGTAAAGCAAATTTCTTTATTGTTTCGCCCGCAACTTAATTATTTTGAAGAATTAACCAACTTAACTTTTTAATGCCTTAACTAATGCCAAAGTAAAAACAGCAAATTTCCCGTATAAAAAAACATAGGTACAAGAACCAAATGGAAAGTTTGTATTTAAATTTCGACCGGTGACAACTCGTGGCCGATTTGGTGTATTTTTTTGGGTCGGTAATCAAATACTTTCCCAAAATAAGTGTTAATTAGAAAAAAGACACTGATTTAACAAAAAAATTATTAAAAAAAAGCCAAAGGGGAAATTATACCATACATCAAGAATCACTTAGTTCATATGGGCTGTATCAAACAATACGCGTAATGTGAAAAGCATGATATTACTGCAGGTACACACTATAATGGCGAACAACGCTTTGATCCAACTCTTCACCTATATGTCCGACTTGCGTAAATGATGATGGCATTTCATCTCCTTCAGGGAGAATGGCCTTCAATATTTCATCTGAGAATCAAAAAAGATCGTACACAAGTTATTCTCACAACTTTGTACACATTCCGGCTATAAAACCCAGCCTGACAGTTACCTACACTCCAACAGTCATAGTTTAGTTCGAGAGTATGCTTGACGACACCAACAGCTTCCTTCTTGACAAATTCTTATTTTCATGTGACAGATTATCAAGATCTATACACGAAATGACTACCATTAGTGTCCAAGCGAATCATCAAGTAACTCGACGGTTGCATTACCTAGACTCTCTACTTCTGTCTTCAATAAAATAATTTTTGTTGATTTTGATGTTGGATCTTCTACAACGTTTCTCAACTTTGGTTGGTTAAGCAGATCGCCAACATATCATCGAGTCAGCCATGATACAACAATATTGTTTCTATACAGTATGTAACCATGATCAACTACCTTATTTAACACTTTTAGAAAATTTGCTATTGAGTTTACGGGAACGCGTATACCGACGATTTATGAAAGAGTTCTCGTTTGAGAGTACAGTCTACCCTCCATATATGCACACCCCTTGGGAAGAGCTGGAGCGTGCATATATGGAAGGTGTGCATATATGGAGAATCGGCATTTTATTGGTTACACGTGATATATATACACAGTGGCTCTCGATAAGATGATGTCGTCAGGCCGGATCAAAAGGATCATATTATCGAGCGTTCATTATAT